CTCCTGCCTGAGCAGGGGGTTAACCTAGATGACCTTCAAGGTCCCTTTCAATTCTGTTATTCTGTTATTTTGCTATTCTGTTATTTTCAGACTCTGGGAAGGAAGGAAAGAAAATAATAAAGAAAATAAACAAAGGCCAAAACTGCAAGGAAAAAAAGAGAATGAAAAGAAACAGAAAGAATGAGATTCAAATTTTCTTTTCAACAATTATAAGTGCAAAAGGGCTGATACAATGAGGGAAAAAAATAACTTACTTGGCATGACAACCAGTCTAGTCCCACTTCCAAAGGAAAACCTGAAACCATTGTCAGACACAGTGCTTTCTACCTTAACAAGAACATGTCTATTTCTGTCAGGAATTAGAACTTTGTTCACCAGGGCATGAAATACTGCATGCCAAATAAAACTTTAAAAAAGTTACTGACCTTATCGCTATCTCCAAAAAGAAATGGAAAGAAAGTAATAAATAAATAAAATATGGCAAGGACCGGACAGAAATGCCAAGATTCCCAAATCCTATTCTGATATTTTCCTATGGATACAGATATCATCTTTCAGGAGATTTAATTTGGGTTTTGGAACAAAATATTTGGGTTCTTTAGTTTAAATGCAATCAAAGAGAGAATGGAAGATTGCCCATGGAGATTCTCAAGTCATTCAGATCATGGTTGTCCCAAAAGTGCTTTTCCAAAACGCAATTAGACTTTCTTGTTTTTTTCTTGAAAACGTTTCGCTTCTCATCCAAAAAGCTTCTTCAGTTCTCTAAAGAAGCAAAGAAACTTCTTGGATGAGAAGCAAAACATTTTCAAGGAAAAAAAAACCAAGAAAGTCCAGTTGCCTTTTGGAAAAGCACGTTTAGGACAGAATGGAAGATTGCAATCTTCTCTTTTCCTCAGATACTCTAAATTTCCATCTCTCCTGAAATATAAATAACTTTATGGAGGACATTAACTAGTAGAAAGAAAGAATAAAAGAAAATATTTTCCAAATAGCCAGAACATTCAAAAATCCAAGGAGGAGAGATACATAGAAAAATATGCTAAATGTTTCATTCTTGTTGGTTAAAACTAACCTAAAATATAGAATTAGAGCCTCTGACAAATCTGAGAAAGGTGCAATACAGTAGCTGATATTTAAAAAAAAATGACTAACATGACAAGGGCTGGATAAAAATGCCAAGATCCCCAAAACATGTCATGATATTCCCAAACTTTCCCACAATATTCTCCAGCTGATAACAAAAATTACAAGAAGTTATAGATAAACTCAGTCCTTGAAAGTAAAACGTATAATTTTTTTCCATCGGCCCATTTCTATATCACTTGCTTAATGCAATTCACTCTCAGCGTTGTGAGATAAATGCCTAAATTAAGCACATGTAAGCTAAATACAATCGTCACCTGTTGACTGCTTATTGTTTACAGATTACCCTTTTCAGTTTATCATGTGTATGTGTTTTTATGTCATATGTGCATGATTGTATGAATACCTAGGCAGATGTACACACATCAAGAAAATTAATGGATAGTAATTGTGACTGGGATGAGCAAGGAAAGGACTCTCTTGTGTTGACCACAAGGGCAATAATAAACAAATAAAACTTACTTGGCATAACGACCAGTTTAGTCCCACTTCCAAAGATGATCTTATTGTAGCTGTTATACAAAGTGCTTTGTGTCTTAGCAAAAACATGCCTTCCTAGTTCTATCAGCAATTATAACTTCCTTTGGAAAACCTAAATCTCCAGACTTTAACATTAAAATATCAAGGTCTACAGCTACTGGAAATTTGAATAATCATTTGGACGTGCAGTCCTGTAAAATGCTTTCCTTTCAGATGTTGGTTTTCTGGAAGTGTGAACCCACTCTGCAGTTTACATTTCCATAATTTAGAGAGCATCAAGAATCTTATTTATCCTACAGTGAATATTGTCCAAAGGGTGACTCTCAAAAAAGACAAACCAGCATGGAAAAATTGCATCTCCAAAATTTGATTGACAGAGCACAAAGGACTTTTAGGAATGGAAGTCGCTTTATGGACTAAGCAGTCATCGGCTTCATCTGCTCAAAGAGGAAAAGCCAAATTCTAAATATTGGGAAGGTGGACATGTAAATCGGACAGGACATGAGAAGGATAAAGGGAACGAGAAGCTGAACTTACTCGGAATCTCATCAAGTTTAATTCCACTTCCAAAGCTGAGCTTATTAAAAGCATTGTAGATCTATAGTGTTTCCTTTCTTGATAAAAAAAAAAACTTCCCAAAGCAGAGAATATTGAAAAGAAAGCTAGTGGAGATGCCTTCAAAAATGATTGACTTGGCAGAGAAAGACTTTTTCTCCAGTTCACATCCAGCCAATCTTCTTGGAGGATTCTAGCCGTGAGGATTTCAAATCCCAAATTTCTCAGCAGTTCAGAGCCATTAAGTTAACATTAGATGTATTGTCGCACATCAAAAGCAACAGGACGTCCTCTTAGTTATATCCTCAATATTTCAGAACCATTGAGAAATCAAGAATTGTAAATGTCTTTGCACAGAGGATGACGGTGGTGAAGCAGTACATGAAGGAAGGGAGGGAGAATGCGTAGATTTCTATGCCAAAGTTGCTTTTTCAGGAGGCAACTGGACTTTCCTGTTTTTCTTTGAAGACGTTTCCCTTCTCATCCAAGAAGCTTCTTCTTCAGCTTTGACTACATGGTGGGGAATCTAGTCAGAGCTGAAGAAGCTTCTTGGATGAGAAGCAAAACATCTTCAAGAAAAACAAGAAAGTCCAGTTGCCTCTTGATAAAGCACCTTTGGGACAACCATGATCTGGATGACTGAGAATCTCCATAGATATATATTTCTATGCTTTCTTTCTCCCAAAGAAGAATTATCTCTTGTAATTTATATGTAATTCATCCTATAAAAAAAACCTCTGGGAAGTGAGCAGAAAATATCAAATTTTTAAAACAATAGCAATAGCAATAACACTTAGACTTATACACAGCTTCACAGTGTTTTACAGCCTTCTCTAAGTAGTTTTCAGACTCAGCATATTTGCCCCCAGCAATCTGGGTCCTCATTTTACCGACCTCGGAAAGAAGGAAGGCTGAGTCAACCTTGAGCCAGTGAGAATCGAACTGCGAACTGCAGGCAGCTGGCAATCAGCAGAAGTAGCCTGCAATACTGCTTTCTAACCACTGTGCTACCATTTATAAAACAATGTAGCATATATAAAGCCAAATTACATTCATTCCCCCACAAAATGGGGAAAAATGTCTTCACTTCGGAGCAATGAAGTCGAGACCCTACTCATCTGTAACGCTCACAAGAAGCCAATGTATCGAAAATGTCTTAACATACCTGACATTATGATTAACCTGGTGCCTTGCCCAAATGTCACTTTCCCATAGGTACTTGATTACACAATCAGGAAAGGCTTTACAAAAAGGAAGCAGAAAGGTTTTCCCTTTTCTCCATTTGGTGTGTTTTTAAATGAACGTGATGTAGGCACTTATTGAAAATACAGGGAATAATTTGCAGCCACTGATCTACGGTATGCAAAAATCCAGAGAAGCACACATTTGCTAATCATCATTCAGATTTTTGCAACCCCAGTCTGATAGCTCGAGAAATGTGGCCTTTCCCTTCTCAAGGGAAAATACGTGAGGTTGTCCTACTCCCACTTGAAAGGACATCTAAACAAATTTAAAGGCTTATATTCGCATCCCATAGTAACAATGAAGTTCTCACTCCTCAGGTCCTCCTGTGGACTCCCTCATAGTTAAAAGGGACCCAGAATAGAATAGAATAGAATAGAATAGAATAGAATAGAATAGAATAGAATAGAATAGAATAGAATAGAATGGAATGGAATGGAATGGAATGGAATGGAATGGAATGGAATGGAATGGAACGGAACGGAATAAAACAGAACGGAATGGAATGGAATAATTGGAAGGAACCATGGAGGTCTTCTAGTTGAAACCCTGTACCATTTCAGACAAATGGTTGTCCAATCTCTTCTTAAAAACTTCAAGTGTTCTTCTTACTTCTCTTGCCCTCAAAACTCCATTTATTTAAGAAATGCTTCAAAGTCAGAGTTAGAATCAGCCTGAAACGCTATAAAAACAGATTTTCATCACAAATGTATTGTTACAATTACAGAGAGTTTAATCTTTGCTCAGAAACTCACGTGGATGAACCTTCAACTCTGTTCCAGTTCCAAATGCAACTCTCGATGTGCCATAATTTATCACAGTGATCTGGGTCTTTACAGAAAGTCATCACTTAAGCCCATTTTGATGAGAAGCATTGAAGAGACTTCAGATCATACTTTTGTCACGGCTATGGATGGTTTACTTTTTGGCAGTCCTAGGAAGTCTACCCCCCAAACATTCTAGGCATTAAATATTGAATATGAAGGTATGAAATGAAATATTGAAAAACCAAGTCATGATTAGGAAAATGTGCATAACCTTTTGAGATTTTTTTCTAATCAGTGAAGGCTGAATATAAATTCAGGGTGATTTTGATAATCACTGAAAATTGCATATAATGTGGGATGAGCAAGGAAAGGACCACCTTGTGCGGATCATAAGAACAAAACAAAGGGCTAAAAAAGGGTCGAAGAGGCCATTTATATCAAAATTGAACAGTCCTCTCTCAACAGAGGAAGAGGTATATGACATCATCTATCTCCAGTCTACAACACTGTCTTTTCAGCAGTTCCAAGAAGGCTCCACACCCATTTGCACCACTCAGCTGACCCTGAGGACACAGGTAAGCCTCCAAATGGCCTCAATGACTCTCTAAAAGAATGCAAATGACCAGCTGTCTGCAGAGGAATATAAATCCTTCCATTCCCCACCATCCCATCAGAGCTGAAGAAGCTTCTTGGATGAGAAGCAAAATGTCTTCAAAATAAAACAAAGTCCAGGTGCCTCTTGAAAAAACACCTTTGCGACAACCATGACCTGGATGACTGAGAATCTCCATAGACAAAAAGGCTAAAACTTACTTGGAATTACGACCAGCCTAGTCCCACCTCCAAAGGTGACTTTAGAATTGCCCAAGGAAGACACAGTGCTTTCAGTCTTAACAAAAACATGGCTTCCTATTTGCATCATAATTATAACATCCTTTTGAAAAACTAGATCTCTAGAGTTTAGGCTTAAATATCAAGGGTTATGGTCCTGGAAATCTTGAAGCATCATTTGGACATCTCTCCCTATAAAATATTTTAGTTTGGGCTGTAGGTTCTTTTGAAAGTTCTAGCCCACTCTGCCCTTTCAGTTTCCATAATTTAGAATTTCGAGAATCTTTCTTATCATGCACTCAAAGCAAGTCTCTAAAAGGCTATAGAAGCAAAATTTGACCTGATGGGAAATAGATATTTTTTTTAGGAATGGAGGTTACTTTGTGGATTAAGCAGTCATCAGCTTCATGTGAAAAAACCAAAGATCAAATATTGAGAAGGTGGACTTTGAGAAAGCAGGATAAAGGGAATGAAAAGCTGAAGTTTACTTGAGTAACACCCAGTTTAGTTTCAAAGGATGCAGCTAGTGGAAATCTGAAGCATCATTTGGACATTTGTCATTTTTTTTTCAGCTCTAGTTTCTTCTTCAGAGGTGTGGATCCATTGCTGGGTTCTTGGTGCTCTCTGCGGTTGGCTGTTTTCTTGCAGACATTTTTTTACCCAAACTAGGTAACATCATCAACACTGGATAATGAAATGTCTTCAAGAAACCAACCAAGCTCAGAGAGCACCAAGGACCCTTCCTTTCTACTCTGAGCTAAAAAAATATTCTCCTTAATTATGAAATCCATTCTCTGCCTTTTCTATTCCACACGTTAGAGGAAAATGTGTGGAAAATGTGTTCAGGAAAAGCCCCTATAAATATACAAGAATTTATTTTTATTTTTTTAAAGGAGACAAAAACCAACAGGAACAAAGATAAAGCAAAAGAAAGAATGAAAACCAAAATGAAAACAAGCAAAAGGCCAAAAAAAGAAAAGGAAAGAAACAGAAAAAAGGACTTTCAGATTTTCTTTACAGCAAAATATTAATACAAAAGAACCCTCCCCCCGTCCTGACCAGATGGGCAGGAATAAAGGGCTAAAACTTACTTGGCGTGACAACCAGCCTAGTCCCACTTCCAAAAGAAAACCTTATATTAGAGGCACAGTGCTTTCTGCCTTAGCAAAAACATGCCTTTCTAATTCTGTAAGGAATTAAGGAATTTAGAAAAGCTCAATCTCTAGACTTTAGGATTCAAATGTCAAGGACTCAGCTCCTGGAAATCTGAAGCATCATTTGGACATTTGTATCTGTTAAATAGAGTTTCTTCTTCAGAGGTGTGAATCCATTCTCTGCCTTTTCTGTTCCATGAGTTAGATTAGAGGTCCACAACCTGTGGGCTATAGCTCACTATGGGATGTGGCCTACTTGCAACCAGACTGCATGAGTGGTGGGCTAGCGTGCGAGTGCGCAGCCCGACTCACGCGAGTGGCAGGCACCAGTGCTCGCTGTCCCATTCGCTGAAGCAGCGGGTGTGCACACCAGCCCCTCACACAAAACCATCCCCTCTTTCCCCCCCTCCTCATCGTGCAGGCCGCCAACCCCGAAAAATTGGGGAACTCTGAGTTAGAGGATCTCCAGACTCTTACTGGGCCAAGGAATATATTCAGGAAATGTTCCTATAAAAATATGAGAATGAAAGGTTTTTAAAAAGAAATCTAAACCAACCCCCCCTTAAAATAAAAGAAAGGAAGGAAAGAAAAAAAAATAAAGTAAAGAGAAACCCAAAAGTGGGGGGGGGGAAAGCAAATGAATAGAAACAGAGAGAAGGAGCTTCAGATTTTCCTTATAGCCATTAAAAGTATAAAGGAACCTGAGGTCAATAGCAGAAATAAAGAACGAAAACTTACTTGGCATTATGATCAGCCTAGTCCCACTTCCAAAGAAAACCTTGTTGTTAAAGTTAGACACAGTGCTTTCTGCCTTGACAAAAACATGTCTTCTTATTTATATCAGCAATTATACGTTCGAAGGGGTCCATAGTACTCTCTGAGCTTGCTTGTTTTCTTGCAGACATTATAAAGCCCTAGTAAGACCACACCTGGAATACTGCAGTGAATTTTGGTCACCATATCACAAAAAAGATGTTGAGAGTTTGGAAACAATTCAGAGAAGAGCAACTAAGATGATCAGGGGCCTGGAGACTAAGACATACGAAGAATGGCTACGGGACTTGGGTTTGGCTAGTCTAAAGAAAAGAAGAAATAGGGGAGACATGATAGCAGTGTTCCAGTATCTGAGGAGCTGCCACAAGGAAGAAGGGGTCACGTTGTTCACCAAAGCACCAGATGGAAGGATGAGAAACAATGGTGGAAACGGATCAAAGAGAGAAGCAACCTGGAATTAAGGAGAAAGTTCCTGACAGTGAGTACAATTAACCAGTGGAACAGCTTGCCTCCAGAAGTTGTGGATGCTCCATCACTGGAGATTTTTAAGAGGAGACTGAACATTCACCTGTCTGAGATGGAATAGGTTCTCCTGCTTGAGCAGGGGGCTGGACTAGAAAACCTCTAAGGTCCCTTCCAGTTCTATTCTAATCCATCACTAGCACTGATGATGTTACCTAGCTTGGGTAATGAAACATCTGCAAGAAAACAAGCAAGCTCAGAGAGCACCAAGGACCCCCCCCCCATATCAACCCTAAACTACAAATATTCTCCTTTATTAGTGTTACAACTTCTTTTTGAAAAGCTACAGATTTAGATTTTAGGATTAAAAGTAATGGGGGAACATGATTTTAATATGGCAAAGACTGGGTAGAAATGCCAAGATTCCCAAACCATGTCAGGATATTTTCCTGCTGATAACAGAACGTATATTATGGACTCAGATATTATAGATGGACTTAGCCCCTGAAAATAGAATTTGTAATTTTCCCACAATTCTATTTCCATGTCACTTTCTAGGATTCACAGTCTCTTTTTTGTAATAAATGTGTGAATTTCAACATTTAATACTATTCCAAAGATGCTTTTTCAGGAGGCAACTGGACTTTCTTGTTTTCCTTTGAAGACGTTTCGCTTCTGATCCAAGAAGCTTCTTCAGCTCTGACTAGATTCCCCACCATCTAGTCAGAGCTGAATAAGCTTCTTGGATGAGAAGCGAAACATCTTCAAAGGAAAACAAGAAAGTCCAGTTGCTTCTTGAAAAAGCATCTTTGGGATAATTGTGAACTGGATGATTGAGAACCTCCGTAGACATTTAATACTGTTTTAACCTATTGGTATCTTGGCAGTTCATTCAGTTCAACCTCATAGCTGATTCTCCCCACCAGTAATTCAACATTATTAACCTGAAGAACACAAAGGTTATCTGGAAAGGAAAAAAAAAACATCAATAATCTATCTGAATCCATTCATATTGTTTTGTGGGTTTAATTTCTTTAGAACAATGAAAGTCTTTTTTTTTCTGATTTGGCCAATAACTAATACTTAGTTACAGAACTACTTATGGAAGTAGTCTACCTCATCTATCCAGCTGTAATAGACTACTAACAATAGGATAAAGGAATATATGTTAGAAATAGATGGAAGCAAAAATTATCAATAATCTGTCTGAATCCACCCGATTTAGAACAATTCATTTAGTGACCACTCAAAGTTATGACAGCACTAGAAAAAGTAACTTATGATCATTTTTCACACATGACCATTACACACCCACATAGTCATGTGAACAAAATTCGGACACTTGGCAACTGATTCATATTTATGACCATTGCAGTGCCATGTGATCATCTTTTGCGACCTTCTGATCAACAAATTCACTTACTGTAACAACCATGATACTAAGTTAACAACTGCAGTGATGCACTTAACAGATGTGACAAGAAAGGTTGTAAAATGAGGCAAAACTCACTTAAGAGCTCTTTTGCTTAGTAAAAAAAAAGGGGGGAAAAATATATGTTAGAAATAGATGAGAAAGAAAGAAATGTACACTTCCCTTGTTATAATCCCTGAAGACTGCATATTAATGGGGGTGGGTAGCACAGGAAAAACCCTCTTGCATGGACCACAATGGCAAGAATCAAGGGCTAAAACCTACTTGGCATGACGACCAGCCTAGTCCCACTTCCAAAGAAAACCTTATCGTATCGAGCAATAAACACAGTGCTTTCTGCCTTAGCAAAATATGGCTTCCTATTTTTATCAGCAATCATAACTTCCTTTAGAAAAGTCAAAATCTCTTGACTTTAAAATATCTGGGCCTCAGCTCTTGGAATCAGAAGCTTCATTTGGATATCTGTATCTATCCAATACTTTCATTAGGGCTCTAATTTCTTCTTCGGAGGTATGAATCTACTCTGCCATTTTTTATCCCATAATTTAGAGGATTTCCAGATGCTTATTGGGCCATCCTATTTGTTCAGCAAAAGCTCCTGTAGACTTATTGGAATTTAACTTTTTTAAAAAGAGGATTAAAAACTAAGTAGAACCAAGATAAATGGAAGGTAGGAAAGAAAGCAAAAAAGAAAACAAACAAAAAGCAGAAAGAAAGAAAGAAAGAAAGAAAGAAAAGAAAGAAAGAAAGAAAGAAAGAAAGAAAGAAAGAAAGAAGGAAAGAAAGAAGAAAAAAAGAAAGGAGGGAATGGAAATAAACAGAAAGAAGGAACTTCAGATTTTATTTACAATAATTATTAGTTTAAAAGAATTTCCTGTGGAGATTGGAAGGGCAAGAATCAAGGGCTAAAACTTACTTGGCATAACAACCAGCCTTGTCCCAGTTCCAAATATGACCTTATAGTTGCCACTGTATACACAGTGCTTTCTGCCTTGACATAAACTGCTTTGGGCAGTTTTCATCAAAAAAAGGAAAACAACTGTAGAGTTAGCTGTATTTTGAATAAGCTTAGCTTCAGAACTGGAACTAAATTAGATGTGACTCCAAGTAAGCTTCCAATTTTCATTCCCTTTATTCTTCTCATGATCTGCCCACTCACATGTCCACCTTCCCATTATTTGGTTTTGACTTCTCTCTATTTTGTGTGTTCTTAAATGAACATTAACTAAGAATGTTAGAATGGAACAGTTTGCCTCCAGAAGTTGTGGGTGCTCCAACACTGAAGGTTTTAAGAAGAGATTGGAGAAATGTTATAGGATCTCCATCTTGAGCAGGAGGTTGGATTACAAGACTCCAAGGTCCCTTCCAAATCTGT